GAAATACAACTGTGATTGCATCGACTTTCATTTGAACCAACACTTCCCATATAACGCCCACTGTATAAGTCATGATAAAATAATGGAAAATAATAGAGAAAATTAATGCTGCTTCGATATCAGAAGTGGGATCAGTGTTGGTTCAATTGCAAAAAGAACTAACTCTGAGTGAACAATGACGTGCAATGTTTGAACAATAAAATGTCATTATGTGATCTCTTATCGAGGCCATGCAAATGCCTCAGATGAAGAAGAACGTCAAGTTACGCGAGTTTGACCCTGACAATATGGATACGGACGCAAGATCTTGATTTGCGACTGTAGATTTATGTTTTGCCGAATACCCTCCATACGGCGGCCAGCTTATTTTAACAGTCAGTAAGGAATTAAAATCACAATTTGTATACCAGATAATAACATAGGAAGAGTAAAAGGTGATTTTCAAGGCGAGATTTATTTCCACCGAGACATTGGCTGGTACGCTAATTAATTTTAACAGTGACAAACCAAATAAAAAAGAAACTCGTTACGTACGCAAATCGCCTGATGACGTCACTGACTAATCGTTGGAAAGACGCTAGCAAGAATCAGATAGCAATTGCGACTGTCCTTGCTTACTTATGTCAGTTTAATTCGAAATTACAACGATTGGCCTTTACTACGAAAATTGCTTCTCGAGATCGACTGCAGCAGGGATTGCACGCATTCTCACATTTGAAACGCAAAGCTAGTTTATCTGATGATTTTTTAAAAGTGCCTGATGCTAAACGAGCCAAGCTAATGTTAAAATGTTATAAGTGCAGAAAAGTGTAGAAGCAAGGTAAATGAGTGTGGAACGACCTTCGATGACAGCAACGGCATTGCAGCCTGCAGTGAAGTCGCTGGTGTGCTTCAAATGTGGCAAGCCTGGTCACATCACGCTCCGGTGCATAAGTAGTGCCAGTCAAGTGGACGGCAGCAATATGGGTGCAACACGAATGGAACGACGCGTGGATGTATGTGTTGTACAACCATCTTCGAATGTTCAATGGCATAGAGGTAATCTGTATTGCTTTTGTTATAATCATGGTGCTGAATATTCGTTAGTAAGATAACATTTAGCAGTCAAATTGTGTGGTTAACGATTTTGACCTTGCAATTTCTAGTATTGATCAAAACAGAATATTCCGCACAGAGTAAAATTTGTTTTGTAACGATTAACGGTCATTCTCTTGAAATCTTTTGAAATATTATGTTTTGCCTAATTATTAGTTACAAAATGGTATCATGATAGAACATGAGATATTGAAAGGTTTTTTATTAACATGACGGCTATAAATTCTTTACACAAAAATTCTAGTAGGTCATGTACCAATAGAGATTGATGTAAATAATGATCATCATGCCAAGCAAATGTTTTAATGAAGTCGATGGAAACCGATGTAAGCATTCTGACGGCCGTAGTAGTGTCGACCGTACTAGTAACTATTACGTAGTCATAGCCTGGTAAAAGTCGGTCTTTTGAGGAAGCTCAAACTAAATAGACCGTGGGTGTGTGATGTGCGTTTAGTTCTGGCGGAGGTCGGGGTCTGTTATGACCATAGTGTGTAGTCATCAAGAGGATGATACATACGGTGATCCCGTAGTGGATGCACCTGGATTGTGGAGCAATTGTGATTGCTGGTTGGCTTGTAAAGCCGTGGCCTAAGCAAAGGTGTTAGCGTTAAAGCTTTTCGTTAGAATAATTGAGAATAGTGAAGTGCTGTTTAACTATGTACAAAGTGATTATTGTTAATTTGAAATACAACTGTGATTGCATCGACTTTCATTTGAACCAACACTTCCCATATAACGCCCACTGTATAAGTCATGATAAAATAATGGAAAATAATAGAGAAAATTAATGCTGCTTCGATATGTTTATTTTAACATAAACATTAATCCAAATATTAGACTAATATAATGCAAAGAGGATGACAAAAATGAAATTTCAATATTAAATTAATTAAATATTGTCGTCGTGTGCTGGCGGGGCAATTGTCGTGTCTCCGCTCGCGTTACCGAATGGCCCGAGCTGGTACCGACTGGTCCGTAATGAAAGTGTTTTAGTACATTGTGAGACGTATACGATACGATTATGATATTTTTTCTATGGGTAATTTATTTATTGAGATAACGTCTTAATAACATGTTGTATCCATAACGGGAGACTTCTTTAGTGATAATTAAATGCATACTTCATACTAGTTTTGAAAATTTTGTAACGTCAGAGGATTTGTCTCGTTTATTCCTAGCATCTTTTCTTTTATTTTTATATAAAAAACGATTATATATATTATATAATTTACCTTATAAATTATGCGTGTGCCGTATTTGGCAGTACTTAAAATTGTTATTAGACCTAGAAAATTAGATTATCTATTTCATTTGAATAACTTAGTATGCGAGTTACAACTTCATATTCCACTCAATTTTTAATTTCCGGGACATATTAGTTATTAATTTCTTATTTTAATCGATTATGTGCAAATAGTTTAGTGTCAAAAGAATTTATTTATTAATCACATCAATAGAAAAACTAACAAAACACTATTTAGAGTAAAATGGTCAAATAATATCATAACCGTGTCGCAGATTGTAAAAATGTGTATTAAAAGCGAATCACTTTTGTTCTGTAATAATTTAACATTGCAAACTAGCTAGGCTCCTAATCGACCGGCAAATGCGAACTGATAAGCATTTTTCCTATAGTAACATAAATTTCCAGTTAAATTACAGCAAAAAAAATGGCTAATTATAAGTAACTAATTGATATTGCTTACAACGTGGGAGATCATGGATTCTATTTCCGTTAATGCTTATGTAAATACATTAATTTTTTTACATGTAGCTCTTTTTAACGTCTCACTGCTGGACACGGGCCGTCCTTCAATAGCCATAGTCTACCATGGTAACCAAATGCGGGGTAGATTTTACATGTCCTTCAAAAACTTGCTGAGTTACCTCAGACATGCAAGTTTCTTTATCATGTTTTCCTTTACCGTAAACCAACATCGTTCCAAATTCATTTGCTAAAATTACATCTTCAAATTCTCCAAATTATCGTATATATTTAAAGTAAAAATATTTAGTATTTTGTGCAATAATAACATCAATACAGTCAAATAAGGTACGAACAGTATCATGTCCAGTAAGCAGTAGCTTATCCGTTACGAGCTCGTTTGGTACGAGGCCAGCGCGTAATGCCCCGTACAGCCTAAATAGAGTTTGACCCATTGATTACAAGTAATATAATAAACTAGCGGACCCGACAGACGTTGTCCTGTCTACACGTCTTTAATTTGAAATTTCAAACTTTTTTTAATAAGCTAAAACATTCTGGACCATTTTGATGAAAATTATTATTCAAATTGTGAATCTAAACCATTCCCAGATCCCCTTGAACACACACAAAAAATTTCATCAAAATCGGTCCAGTCGTTTGAGAGAAGTTCAGTGACATACACACTCACAGAAGAATTATATATATAAAGATAGATTCACTAGTTATGTTAATTTGTTTGCCAAAACTGTACTTTGGCAGTGTATAGAGAAAGCTGTAGATTTATTTCCGATTGGTTTCGTTAAATGTGAAAGCGCAAACATTCATTTTATGGATATACTAGCAGAACCCGCAACTTTGCTCGTGCTAATACTACAGAAAAAAAACAAAAAAGTAGGTTTCATACAAACTTTCATCCGCTATTTTACGCCCTTATAAGATGAATTTTGAAAAATGTTGAAACACGTATTTAATTAATTGTATTCAAGAGTAATAATACCAAGTTTCAAGTAATCCTGTTCATAATTAATTTTTGCATTGTATTATAACATAGCCTATGTCACTCTCCAGCCCTCCAACTATCTCCACATAAAAAATCACGCCAAACCGCCAAGCCGTTTTGCTGCGAAAGAAAGATAAACAAACAAACAAACACACTTTCACATTTATAATATTAGTATGGATTAGCTGTCGCAAGTGTGAGTGTCTAACATATCGTATGGTAAAGAAATTTTTAAATTGTAGATATTTTTTTTTTTTTCTAAAAAAAATGGCACTGAAAACCACTACCCAGACTGCATCAAATCCCATGACAAGTTAGAGACCTTATTCCTATCTTAGTCTGCAATAGACTAAAACTATGGATACGTAAAAATTATAATATACTCCAAATAAGCATATATAAAAAACCTTTATTTGTTTCTATAATTGTTAATACAAATCAAGGTGTCGGTCCTTTCTCAGTCACTTATCTTGTTTGCAGATCTTTATTTCACTTAAACGTTAAGTAAAATTTTATGTCGGTCGCCCCTCGGTCTTTCAATCTCATTTTATTTTGCCGAGATTTTATCTTATTTGCCTTGTATTTTTTGAACAGATTTGAACAATGAACATGAAATTGTTTTCGGTACCTTTATAAAGTTTTTATTTCATTAAATTTTTTTATTATAGAAAGCCTAAATATTTGTAATGATATAATAGAAGAAAAATCGGTCAACTGCGAGTGGAGTTTGCGTGACAAATATTTTATACCATCTGAATCTGAATTTGAAAACTTTAATATGAGTCTGACTTGGGTTTAGTAAATTTATTAATTTCTGTACTTAACTCCTTCAGGTAAATTTCTAAGAAATTAATTGTTAACTGTAACACCGGTGTGCCTGCGGACGTTGCGGGATTAAAAGCTGTAGGCACACAAATTTTGACACTTGCATGTTTTATGGATTTTGCGATAGAGCAAAGACATATATAAAACCGAAAAACCAAGGTCCTTGTTTGGAGGGCTCCTTAATTTCAATATTTTGAATCTAATCACCTTATAAGCCACAAATACCAATCTCAATGAGAATGGCAATTTAAACAGAAGATAATATTGTAGTATGTAAATATACCAATTCAATAACTTATTTTGGCCCGACACGGTCAACATTATATGTATGTAAATAAAGTATGACCATATTTTATCGTTTTACCTGAATTAAACGATATAATTTCTATCAGGATGCCGTCTTCCGATAGCAAATGGCCAGGTCCTGGTGAGTTCCGCCGCCTTGACGTCCCCGCGAAGTAGTGCTACGACGTCGTCTAGATACCGCAGCGCCCGCGACTCCGCGGTGAGCGCGCGCGCAGCCGCCGCGCAGCGACAGGCGCGTGCGCATTGTGCCTGGAAACATTGCATATTATTTATAAATAATATATACTTCTAATAATTATGACAAAGAATATTTGCTGTTAATTATGTACATACTAATTAAAGATACTACAATGTTGCATTCACCTTCTTCGTAAAGATATATAGTTTGACAACAATGTCAGACGGTCTCCTCAATAATAACGAATGTACTAAATAATTATCCTATTATCATACCTATTGATCGATAAGTTTCATAATGATTATATGTAAAAAATTAAATATGTCTATATATTTATTTTTATGATTGTTCCACACGCTCATTTTATAATAATAATTAACAAATTAAAAATGTTTTTGCTGTATTTAATACTAGATGATATTTACTTACAAAAGGTTAACAACGTCAGATGTTTTGTTTTAGCAAAAAAACTACGAGAACAGATAATATATACAACATATAATTACTAACCAGGATTGGATTTGAGATTAATAATTACAGTTTAATGACATAATATTGCCTCAATCCAAATGAAATTGGTTTGAGATTTCAAAGAGCTGCCAGCATCATTGTTTACCCTAATTGATGTATGAAAAAATCTAATTATAGTTGAATTATCAAATTTGAAACATCAGACATATCTGTTTTAAGTTCATGGAAACATTTAAATGCTAGAAACTTCCATCTGGTTAAAGTTACTTAATTATACTAGTTTTTTTTTGTAAAGTCCATTTGTTATACGTATTCATGAAATAATATTTTTTAACCACTTTTTTTGATATACTTTTGTTTTTTTTTTCGTTTATAGAATTTTAGTTAAGATGATTAAATTATTATATTAAAACTCATCGTCTAATCATCGTATAAGATAAGAATTTATTTAACAAAAAAGCACCTAATTTTATTTCTGTCGCTACTTCTACTTAAATTTTAGTAATGAGGTCTATTAATTGAGTATTGTTGCAATAATTAAAAAATCACGATAAACATAATTATATCGTCGCTAAACTTAACGGGACTCGACATATGACATCACTATTACGAGTTTTCGTTTAACTAAACAATCGAGTCAAGAGCTATTAGTGTTAATTGTCATTATTAAATGAAGTCATGTCAGTTGTAATAAGTTCTAGAAAAATAACATTTGTAAAACAATCAGTTTACCTACATACCTACTACTAAGTTAATTATATGTTATGTTACAAAATATTTAATAATATATGAATTTGTTTTTATATTATGTTTTTTTATTAGTATATAATTTTGTTGTTTTTTCATTAACTATATATATATATATATATATATATATATATATATATATATATATATATATGTACATATTGCACAATTTTAAGTAATATATACTGTAATAGTATAATAGCTGGAAGGCGTTAATTATTGCCATTTTTTCTAAGCGTGTAGTAAATTGAGTATTTACCTTTCTATTTCACTTCTTAAACCACTTATAAAATTTATATATTTTAACTAGCTTGTGTCTGCAGCTTCGCCGCGTTTTTATTGTTTTAAGTACGTTATAAAAGTACGGTTCGTCCCTACTTACGTTTTAACATTAAGTATAGATTTCTCAGAGATGAGATATTTTCCCGCAGTAAAAAATATCCTAAATTTCATCAAAATCCCTCCAGTAGTTTTTTCCGTGATGCGGTAACAGACAGAAAGACAGACAAAAATTCTAAAAACTATAGATTCGGACTCTGTATCGACAAAATTTAATGTACAGATTCGGCTTAGTTACAATTTTATTACATGTATAGATAAAAATAACATTTTTAGTTAAACAGTGATTAATTTAACGACTTCTCAAGATTATTTTCATGTTATAAGTTTTAAAGTTATAAGTTTTGCTTATAAATAGACAAAGACAAATCAGTTCAAACATTTTTTCTCCTCCGTTTGTCTCCCGATTTTTTTTTTCGTTAAGTACCTAGCTATTGAGGAGCTTTATATTTATCGACAAAAAAAATGAAAATAGTTTTTAATATTGATCGGTAAATTCTATTCATATATGTTTAATAATGATTAATAATGAATAACAATAACTAAACGAACACTAGTACGTATTATAATGATACAAAAAGATATTTTACAAGTTTTTTTTAGTTTTTTTTTGATTTTTTTTAAAGTACCTAATCAATACAAACTTCAATCTTGTGTTTACTGGTAAGTTATAGCACATAGCTACAGGTGGATCGCTGACCTAACAGGAACGATTGCGACACGAGGCGTCGAGTTAGCATTCGCGGCATTGTAACGTTACACTTTTGTTTGTTCAATTTTACGTGAGAAATAAATTTATAAATTCCATCATTCTAATTGTTACATCGAGTAGCGTTAGACATAATAAATGTAAAATTTAAGTATAGTTTATAATAAAAGTATTTTTAAGTAAATTTTGTTTTTTTTTGAGTTCTCTGGCTGTGTTGCTCTTAACTGGCGCAGTCGGTAGGATACTCAAAAGAGACGATAAGTAATCTAACATCGACTACTGTCTCGGAGTATCAGGAAGAACCAAGAAGCAGCAGCCCGAGGTGTATCCGAACATTGATACCAGAAAAAACTAAAATGCACATGTAAGTACATAGAATAGCCTGTGTCCTTATTTCCTTTCTATTTTATTGTTCTTATATTATCCAGGATTTTCCACCCTAGGAAATCGAACCCGAGGGGTACTGCATCAAGTAGGACCTCTCGTAGAAATAATTTAGATTTAGGTAGAAATTTAAGATTAATTTCTGAAATAGATATAATGGCATCTCATGACTTAGAAACTATTTTTAAGGCAGTGCGCGCCGTTCCTGAATTCGATGGGAACCCTAATATTTTACCCAGATTTATTAATATTTGTGACCAAATTGTTAGTCACTACATAGGAACCGAACCCGGGTCAGAACTATCAAACCTTACGTTAATTAACTCTATCTTAAATAAAATAACAGGCTCCGCAGCACGTTTTATAAATTCGAATGGCATATCGGAAAATTGGTTAGGCATTAGGACAGCTTTGATAAATAATTTCTCAGATCAACGAGACGAGACCGCGCTTTATAACGATCTTGCTCTAGCTACACAGGGTAATAGTACTCCACAAGAGTATTATGAACGCTGTCAAACATTATTCAGCACTATCATGACCTATGTAATGCTTCATGAAACTATTCCAACGACAATTGAAGCCAAACGTACTCTGTATAGGAAATTAACTATGCAAGCATACATACGCGGTTTAAAAGAGCCACTAGGCTCACGAATTCGTTGCATGCGTCCTGATAGTATTGAAAAGGCTTTGGAATTCGTGCAAGAAGAATTGAATGCTGCTTATATGCAAAATAGAAACGAGTCATTTAGTGAAAGAAAGCATGCGACACCTAAACCTATTCAGCCATTACCGATATTTTCACCAACACCAAAAGCATTCAATTTTCCTCCAGCGACTTTCATGCCTCCAAACCAAAGGCAAACTTTACAACAGCCACAACATCAGCAGCAGCTACAATCTTGGAGACAAAATCAGGTAAGTGCACCTTATCATAAACAGCCAACACGCACACAACAAATTTTCCGCGCATTACCTCCTAATTATAATCACAATAGTAACATGTTTCGACTTCCCCCCAGAAATCAAAATCAATTTCAAAGACCTATGAGTGGAATTGTTAACTACACCCCAAAACAATTACCTCCTACAAATTTTAATTCACGTCCATTTGCACCACAAATTAACCAACAACCACACCACAGTAATTTTCCACGTGAAATGAATTTCCATGAATCTTATTTCCAGGACTATGACTATAATAATGACTCAGAATACTATTATGACCCCGAATCTTATTATTACTATCCGACATACTATACTGACTATACTGAACATGACTATGACATGAACACCATCACCACTCAGCAACATGACCAAACCGACTTGGTACAAGACGCAGACTTTGATCGACAGACCAATGAACCTAAATCGGATTTTCAAGAAACTCCCAAGTTAAAAAAGCCAAAATAGAAGTCAACATACAGACGCAAAGGCAGCTCCCATACATACAAATTAATAATCCTCCTATTAAGCTACTTATTGACACTGGTGCTAATCAGTCATTTATAAGCCCAGAAGCCGTTGAAAACTACTTTTCTAATATCCCACTCAACTATGACCCATTTGAAGTGACCAATGTTCACGCCACCACACGTAACAACTATTCGATTACTATACCGACCTTTACTGAATTTAATGACTCGAAGGACATGAAACTTTTCATATACAAATTTCATAACTACTTTGACGGACTCATCGGGTTAGACTTACTCGAACAGTGGGCGGCTAGGATAGATCTTAAAGATAAATTATTATATACTCAAAATGCTACTAATCCCATACATATGTATAACTCATGTAACGTAAATTTGTACGAAGATGTCATACCGGCGAATTCATCAAAGTTTATTAAAATACCAGTTAATAGTAAAGACGGAGACGTTTTAATCCCGGAGCAAGTCATTTCTAATTGTATTATAACTAGCTGTTTAACCTCTATAAAAAATAATCGTGGAATTTTGGAAGTTATTAATCCAACTCAACATGACGTGATTTTTTCTATGGATAGAAGTATTCTTACTGAAATTCATAATATAGAAGTTTTTAATAGGTTAAATTTATCATCCCGAGCAAAAGAGGTACTAAGTCGATTACGTACAGATCATTTAAATCCCGAAGAGCGTACTAATCTAGAGTTATTGTGTTCCAAATATGCTGATATATTTTACATTGAGGATGAGGCTTTAACATTTACTAATAAAATCAAACATCGCATAAGAACTACTGACGAAATTCCCGTACATAGCAAAAATTATAGATATCCCTTTATCCATAGAGATGAGGTTAGGAGTCAAGTAAATAAAATGTTGGAACAAAGAATAATAAGGCCTTCTAATTCCGCTTGGAGCTCACCTATTTGGGTGGTTCCAAAGAAAGCTGACGCCTCTGGTAAAATTAAATGGCGACTCGTTGTAG